GTCTGATATTAACGTTCTGCTAATATCCGATATGCCGATATTGTCCAAATTCCGATATCAACCAATACCGATATTTGCAGTCTTTTTCCCCCAAAACTGCAGTAAACGTCCGAGGACCCCACAGGCGATTCCAGAATATTTGGCCAAACCCAGGCATTCTGTTGTTGGGTTTTTATTATCTGAAGAAAAAAATGATAAAGACCACCATGTGTTTTTGTTGAGGCTCCAACTACTGCTGAGACACCTGGTCTGTGTCAGGCAGGCTTCACTGAGCGCAGGGCAGCTGACTGATGCTAACATCTAACAGGAAGCAATGGGATTCTATGGACTAATTAATATTGTTGAGGAAAATCAGCAAAACTTCAAGTTGTCATTTGAATTAGTGACAAAAATCAACAGGTGTGAAATACATACATCTACCTGCTGTACTATATTTGAATATATATGTAAATATATGTGTAAATATATATGTAAATATAGATATAAATATATATGAAAATATATCTGTGTAAATATATGTACATATATATATGTACAGATACACATTTTCTGACTTTAATAAAAAATATATGTATAACCTATGTGTATATATTAACACTATAGATGTTGATATATATTTATAACTGAGTATGGTCAATTGTGATTATATGTACTGTGTATATACAGTATATATATATATAGTACATATATATATATAAATAGTTTTGTTCCAGACTTTTTCTCAACGCTCCTTCTTTTAACTTAAAGTTATTTATGTCTTCATGTTTCCATCTTTTCTCTTCACGTGTTCGTGTTTCTTCCCCACTCTCATCCAGCTGTGCTCCATATTCTCTGGCTCTGGTTCCACATTTTAAAATAGAGCTATCACTGTAATTCACTGCAATAAAAGAAAGAAGAAGAAGAAAATGTAAAACCCTTTAAAGCTTTTATCCGTCCGTCTTTTTTTCACGCTCGTGCTGTTAGTTTCTGATGACCCCGGCTGATCAGACATATTTCCTCATAATTACTCGGTGCTTTCAAAAAGAAAAATCCATATGTCCATACCTCTGTGTGTGTGCATACGCAGTAAGTGCACATCCAGCACAAGTGCTGCCATTTGAAAGGCACCGGCTCGCTGCTCGCAAATCTAATAAGGTTTGTGGAGCCGCGGCAGTGTTTCCAGGCCTGTGTTCTCACAGAGCTGTTAACAGCAGTTATAGCTGCTGCAGAGAAGCTCGATTAAAGAGTTCAACTCTGAAACACGACACCGCGTTAGTGGGGGAAACGAGCACTGGGGGAATTACCTGCAGTTTTAAAACACGCTGCAGCCTCTTCAAAATAACCATTAAAGGAATAAAGCATTTATAATTCATATATAAATATACAGGATGTAAAGAGTGAGGCAGGAGCTGAGTCGACTTGAATATACGGAAGAACCAGTTTAAAAAGAAGGCCTAGGAAAGGGAAGACAATCATGACTGTTTATTATAATTGTTATTAAGGTTTGGTTTTTAACCCGTGATGAGTTTAAGGCTTTTTTCACCCAATTGAGGAACTGTTTTTATCCTTTTCCAGACAAATGTATTTTTAAGCATATGGATTTTTAAACGTTATATATAATAACGTAATAAATGACAAACTGTATAATTTAGTCATTTATAAGATATTTTATTGACATAGTAAAAAAATTAAATGAAAATAAAATTATATTTATTTATTTACATACAAAATTAAATGAAAATAAAATTATATTTGCTTGAATTAAATTAATTTATAAATTGGTTCTTGCAGCACGCTTTGGAAAAAGTGAATGTTTTCATTAAGGGAAACTGGAGTATAGTTTTTGGGGGGTCATCTCGCATCATGTTTCCCAAGAGTTTATGAATAATGTCTATTGACTTGGGTTGCGAAGGTTTGTGACTTTTAAAATATGGGTCCCCAGAAAAAAAGTTTGGGAAACACTGGTCTACACCAGGCGTGGGCAAACTTTTTGACTCGTGGGCCACAATGGGTCCTATAATTGAACAGGGGGGCAGATAGACGGAGTGTTTGTGTGAACTAAGATAAATGACATGTAAAAGTCACACATAAAGGCTAAACTGCTAAAAGTGCTTTTATCATTTTTACGCCATCTATTGGAAAAATGTGGGTATTGCAGGGAAAAGGCAGAAGGGAAAAGTTTGACCGGCCGCATCTGGCCCCCGAGCCTTAGTTTCCCCATGCCTGGTCTACATGCTCCACTGTTTAGTCTTCCTATATATATATAAGTTTATAGCAGTTACGTATATTAAATGTGAACCTTTAATGTGCACACAGTACATGGAAATGGCTAAAATTGCGTCATTGAGGTTTACTGGACGGGATTATGCAGCTAAACAGCATTAGCATAATGTTAGCTCACTAATAGAGGCTGTTTGTTTTAACTATCAGTTAACAAAAACTGGTGATGAGTAGCTGGATGTTGTCTTTCTTCTTACGAAAAAGTTAACAGTGAGTGCTAACGGGAAGCAGTTACCTAGTATTTCATCGTAATTCTAAAATACTTTTGCGTCAAGAGGTTCAATGCACCAATTCAAATTTAAGGTCTGCAAAGATTTAACTGGCTGCTGACGACAGAATAATGAAAAAAATCCACCAAACTTGAAAGATGAAATGGAAAGATTTCAAACGGCACCACGGCTCAGTGACTTTGTGGGGACAACTTTGACAATCTTTTTTATTTTTATTTTTTTTTGAGGTTTTAAATACATCCCCGCAGCACAAACTTAAAACAAAAGGGATGATTAATTAAATTTTCTAGGGAGAGAAGGAGAATTTCACCACCTCATGGTGAGCTGAAACCCAGCCACACGGTGTGGAGATGAAAAGTCCTGCTGCCTAAACCCTTCATCTGAAGAGCCAGCGGCCCCCGCTGTGACCAAGAGCACATTTTTTCTGGCTTACTTTTTTTTTTTTTACAGTTTGAACTATAATAAGACAGACATATCGGTATAATCTTTTTTGGAAGAAAAATATTTTTGTTTATTTGGCTGCAAAATTATTTTGCATTCCATATAAAAATGCAGCCAGACGAGGATATTTAAATCAGTAGGAAAGTAGAAAAAACCTTTTTCAGTGAAATGTGGTGCTGGAATAACACATGACATTTGCAGAGGCTTTTTTTCAATAATGCATATTTTGGCTTTTGCCTTCAAGAAAAGTCTCCTAATTTACTACAGCTAATGTTTTACCTAGTTCTGGGAGCTTGTATATTACTTTTTGGGGTTTTTTTTATTGACCATTTGTTTACATTCTAATGTTATTAAAATACATGTTTTCACTTTTTCTTTGTTAAACTTTAATCTATTTAAACCAAAGGCGTCAAACTCATTTTGGTTCAGGGGCTGCAAAAAAAACAAAAAGTTCACATTTTTCCCTTTTGTTTTCAAGCTAAAATACATTAGATACAACTTTATATTTAATGTAATGTAATAATAATAAGAGTTTGTGTATATTCTTATTCTCAAAATTCATCAACTTGGCTGGATTGACACTCCAAATGGGCAAGTTTTGGCCCGCGGGCCCTATGTTTGAAGCCCCTTATCTAAATTATTAACCATTACTTTTTTTCATTTATTCCTGGGATAAGTTTTTAAAATATCTTTAAGCAAATGTTTGTGTTCAACACTGTTGGACGCTGTACTGTAGCATAAAACGACCAGAGCTGAAGAAGGGTGTTGAGAGGAAAGTCTGAAGTCCTGCTGCCAAATCCCATCTTCTCAGAAGGCAGAATGTAACTCTTTACACGTTGTTTACAAGTTTACAAGACAACTTTTTGTCTAAAATTCAAAAGAAATACAGAGGTTGGTCTGATGGTTCTCGGATTTACTGTATGTGAACAACAAGAACAACAGCGCCGTGCCCACAAGTGAGTAAAGACCTCTGTGCCCCGACACTGTTGTGTACAACACTCAACATTTTCTATGGTAACTATGTTCAAGTCAAAAAAAAAAGAACCAGATGTGAATGTGAACAACGAGATGGATTGTACTCTGCGGCCAAATTCCTCAACGAGAAATAACCTGCTCTCACTTTATGAGTTTTGGTTTTAGAGCCCTAAAGACAGAGCTGTCAGTAAATCACCCAGACAAAGCTGAGTACACCATCGATCTGCAAACTAAATGATGCTCTCTTACACGCTTTTTCCAACCGTGCCTCTCAGCGTCAGGGAGAAAATGATGGGCCTCAGAAAACAGGAGAGAATAAAACTGTCAGAGATCCACTTTACTTGGAAAACTAATCTGATGCAATTTTTTTTTTCTCTGCAGGAACTAGAACTCGAGGACTGTACATGGCACCGTGTGTTGAACACAGTCACCGAAAGATAATGATAATGTTAGATTACTGTAGTGGACAAATGACAAAGTAGTTGTCAATCTGCTGAAAGATAGAAGGAAGGTTTTTAAAAAAGAGAAAAGAAGTGTTTTGAGCGTAGGTTCAGAGCTGCGTACTTAAACAGGAAGTAGAAAATAGCCATAATATGAGTTATAGCGTTGCATTCTTTTGGTTAGCCACAGAGCTAAGAAAAAAAATGGTGAAGGTTCACTTGGAGTTATCAAAATCAACACAGCGCTCCAGTTTACTATGCTATCAAAAGCCTAGCCAACTTAGCGAGCTAAAATATCACGTTTTCAAAATAAAATTCAGCAAAAATATTATCTATATATATATATATATNCCAGACAATTGGACCAGACCAAAACTCAACTCAAGGTGGATCTACTGTAACGTGCTAAAGTTCCGACAAAAATATTGGTTCAAGGTTACAACAAGTGCTCCCGAATGACCCTGAAAGCTCTTATTTTGAAGTCCTAAAAATCCCCTGGATTCCACCAACCCTCTGTGACATACAGCTGTAATATTTTTCAACAAGACTGTTTTATCTCCAACTTAAAACAGCAGTGACCTTCAGAATAACCTCAGTCTAGCGGCAGCGCAGAGAAGACGTCACAGCAAACCAAGAGGATAGGGCTGAGATTTACCGTGTTGAATCCTGGGAAGAGGCTGACCGCCGAGGCCGTCTCCAGAGGAAATGGGAGAAACTGCTTCATCCCCAGTGACGTCTGGACTGTGGGCAGTGTGGGCCTCACCAGGGCTGGCACCAGACCATTCTGACATGTGTTACCTACAGGAGGGCAGAGAGAGAGAGAGAGAGAGAGAGAGAGAGAGGAAACATAATGAGGTGAAAACAGCACAGAGGACGAACAATCAAGCTGGAACCAACAAGAGACCATCGTTTCTAGGTGACACATGAAGAGACTGGACGTCAGGTGGTTCCAAAGTAAAACCATACAGTGTGTCATTTAGTGAAAAGGAAAGATACCCGACTTTAACAATTTATCCTCTGGGATTTTTTACGTAGGAAAACAGTTTGTTTTTCTATGCAAATAAAATAGTGAAAACATCTTAAACAAAGCCAGTATATTAGCGTTAAATAATGTAAAATATACTTATGTTAAAAACAGTGTTTACAAATGAATGTTATAAAAACAGACTTTGTTAACACTATTGTCAAAGAACATATTTTTGCCCACGGCCAAATTTGCTGTTTTGTTCTTTTTTTTTTTTTGCCTTTGTTATTATTAAAGCCCATATGCAATAGGATCATTATATTTTCACTATTTAATCAAATACATTTTAATGTGCAACACATTTCAACAGATGGCTTCAGTCCAACGTTGGTCTAAATATTATTTTTGTCCATAGTCAGAGCAGAGTGGACCACACAAAAAACTCCTCAATTGAATTGTCCTAAGAGACGTTAATGCCAGGGCTTCATGGAGCACCAACTGGATGTGTTTTCAACACAACAGGATCCAAAGTAAGAAAAGCATCACAGTCTTCCAAAACATGAGGAATTAAAGAAGCCATTTGGTACAACTATAATGAAAACCAGAGGAACATGTTTTTTTTCTTACATTGCTGCACATTTAACAACAGTGAAAAGCTGAGCCAGCGCCAAAGTGCTCACAGATATGGAATCAAGTTAAACCACAGACTCGAGGACAATAAAAGTAGGGTTTTTTTTGCCACGTTTTGGTCCCCAGGCATCAGTCAGGGGGTAAATAAAAAAAGGACAACGAAGAGAAAAACACACAGGACTGTCCTCCCTTCTCTGACTTTGGGCCTGCAGTCGCCGGAGCGCTGCCATCTGTTGGAAAAAAGACCACATGTCTCTCATGTGGAGGCACGTCCCGGTTCCCGGCTCTAACAAAGCGTGTCCCTCTGCGGGGACGAGCCGAGCGTGCCATTTCCTGACGTCAGCCCACCTCAGAGTGGAGTCGTGTCGGGGCCAAATCCACCAGCAGCAGTCGGAGGAGCCCAGAGTTGATGAGTGGGATTAGTCGCCATCAAAATGAGCAGTGACACACTAAAAATGTGAGTTTCGTTGGACCAAGTTTGGCTGTGAGTGACAGAAGATGAAATCTGATGTGTTGCTACGGCTGAAAGCCTGTGATTTTTTTGTTTTGTTTTTTTTCTCTTCGCTGCAGCGTGCACAGATAATTTGTTCCATCTCCGAGCAGAGAAAATCACAATGAGGTCTTGTTTTTCTTTTAATGTTTGGCAGGAAGAAACTTTCTGGGCCTTTCTTCCAATAGAAACAGCGGTGCTTTATTACCAACTTAAAAAAAAAAAAGCAAGAGTCATTAGAGCCCGGGCATCTCTCTATTAGAGGACAATCTGATAGGAATCTAGATCCAGGGCAGATAATCCTAATTTAGTCAACAACGCTCCTGTCCTGATTTAAACCAGTTACTGGAGTCAATGGAAATCCAGTCAGACTTGGCTCTGTGAAGTCCACCGCTGAAGAGAAGCTTCTCCCTGGTTTAACCAAGCATATTCTAAGCTAAACAGAAAGACTGCTATAGAAATCCGACTGTGAAAGAGCAGAGTGAAGAAAGGTAAACTCTGAAACGCCTGAAGATTTGAAGCATCAGAGTGGAGACTGGGGTAAAGGTGATGAAAGTCTCAGCATATCCATAACTGAGCTAAAGTGACATTTATATGACGTGCAAGTGCCAAAAATTTATCGTTTCGTCGATTAACTTGTCAGCTCAACATTGTTGGTTTTCTAGAACTTCCAACTCTGGTCTGAAGGTCAGTCACTGATTCATAAGTTTCACTTATGAATAACTGTTGTTTTTAAAGGTTTTATAGAGATGAAAAGCTCCCCCCATACAGTGGAACCTCGTGATAGCCTTCGAGAGAGCCTTCGAGCAAATCTTTGCTTCGAGATACGATTAGAGATTTGAGATACGAGCACACTTACAGATGCCAACGGTAGGTGGCCGAGCACCGTATTGTGTTTGCGTTATCTACCTGATTTTCTCTCTATTTTGTGGATACACGATACTCGTGTATCCATACTTCCCTCCCTCATTCTGTCTTGGTGAGATCGTTGATCAAGTCTGTTCATGATGTACCGTTCGTCTGCGTCAGTTCGTCTGTGTTGCGCCACGTTTTGGAGTTCATGCCTTGTGAACATGTACGTTAGTGTTCTTTTGCACTTTGTGATTGTGACTTTTTTGAATAACTACCTACACTTTGAAAAGAGTCTCTCCAGTACTGCAACTGGGTCCTTCCTGTTTCCTACGATATCCTTCCGAACGTAACACAAAGATATGTAAAGGTTCATAGAGAACGGCTGTAGGATCATTTTAAGGACCCTCTCTGTGGAGGCAGAGCATTGATCAGTGCTCAGCGTCAGGCTGGAGAACATAGGAGTGGGGTTGCGGGTGCAGAACCCGACGCAGGTGAACCCAATTCTCCTTACATTGGTAGGAGCCAAGGACCAAAGAGAGAGAAAAGAGATGAAATAGACTGGTGAGGGTGAGAGAGAGTCACGCCACAGGAAGGGCTTCAGATGCAAAGAGATGAAGAACCAGCACCACGCTGCAGCAGAGACATCACTGACAGATCAGGAATGTAAAAAAAAAAACCTTGTTATGTGCCTGACTGTCTGTGCTCAGAGATCCTGCGTGTTGAATATTCCTTCTTTTCTCTACATATTCACCAATTAACTCTATACACTGGGAAACTGTGTTCCCGTTGAAGAATGTCATCTTTATAGAATTCTGGGGATGAAGTTTACACCAGGTCATAACATGTCCCAGTGTAAGGATTGCATTCCAGCTCCTTTAGGATGTTTTTGGGAAAAAGAAAAAAAGAATAGGACATAGAAGTATTACGAAATACGAGCAAGCCTTTGAGCAAATTGTGCCGACACTACGTGGCCGAGCAGCCCACGCTGCATTTGAGATAAGAGCACGTTTACAGATGCCAACACTACGTGGCCGAGCAGCCCACGCTGCCTCACTCGTTCATGTCATGTCTCTATTTTGTGCATTATTCTTCATAATAATGATGAGTCCTAAGAGAGTGAGTGGTAAGGATGGTAGAAGAAGAAACGCACGATGACCATGGAAATAAAGCATGAAATGGTCGATAAATATGAGCGTGGTGTCCGCTAAAGAAAGAATACAAATCTAAAAAAAGAGCAAAAAAAAATACTTAGGTTAAGTTAATTCTAAGTTTATGTAAGTTACGTAGAGTATGAGTAAGGTACGGGATAGAATCAAGTGTCTACGTACAGGCCAACTCTCTTCCCCCCCTTCCTCCCACCCTCCTCCTCCTCCATTAGCCGCTACTGTATCGTCTGTCTCGAAGGTCAGAACTCATAATTAAAACCACATTTTATTTTATATCACAGGAATACTTATATACTATAGTTTTTTGTGTGTGTATGTCTCTGTCTCTATAGCAACTAAAAACATGTTTTTCCATTGTTGTTAGCACTAATAAGGGAGTTTTTTAGAGGGCAGGAACGGATTAATTTCTTTGCTGTTATTTCTTATGGGAAAAAATGATTTGAGATATCTCGAGGTTCTACTGTATTAACAATGTCTTTGACAACGGTCTTTTAATTATAAAAGAAAATTGCCAGAGAAGAATGGTGTACCCTTAATAAAGTATAAAGTACATCTTCCTCCTCCCTCTAGAGATCACTGTTTCCTTTTCCTTTCGGATTAGCTTTCTCCATCCTCCCTGCTCTTTCCAATCTTCAGATTAGTTTGGGGTTAAAAAGGGCAAATCGAAGTTTGTCCCTTGTCGCCGAAGGTAACCCGACGATCCTAATCTAACCGACATGCCCAAACAAGGCACATACCAGCTCGCAGCGGTGGATTGTGTTTCACTCTCCTGAGCTTGATCATCCGTCAGCAGCAGCAACGCGACCAAAAGGCAGAGTCAAGGCAGAGCAGAGAGATGAGCCTGTAGCTGCTGCTGCAGCTGGAGTTACCCCCATAACCCTGTGAGTTCAACGCTGACTCTGAGGATTATTTTAGCACTTTGAGCCAGAAGAAAAGTTAAGTCTACGGCGTGCTCGCAATATGCAATTATGCATTATCACTGCAAAACTTCCAATAGTTATAATAATGCTTTTAAAAAGTTAATATTTAAGTTTGGCTGAGTGCTACTGGATTCTGACTAAATTAAGAAGAGCTCGGGGGCCCAGGTGGGCTGGGATCTAGCACTGATTTTAGCTCGGATGTATAATTTAATGCATTAGAGATTAAATATGAATCTCGGTCGAAAGTGAATGAATAGAACATATTGAGTAAAAAGCTGGATTCTGTGTCAGACTGGACCTTCTAATACATTACTTCTCCTGAGTTCTGGTTCACTGATGAGGTGAATGAGTTCCTGTAAGTGAATCACCACGACTCTCACAATGAGCTCTTCATGGACACTCTTACAGCAAGCACACTATGTTACTGCTAAAGGTGACATTTTGGAAGTGTCTGAGGTTTTTGAAAATGTTTATCTATGTTAAGTGTAACCACTCATTCATTTTTTTAAATACATTTCAGGCCACACTGAACGCTGTGGAGAATCACTGCAATGTTTGTGCGGTTCCACGGGAATGACAAACACGGGAACAACTAGTCCTGCATCCTCCACGGTGAGAAATTGAATATTTTTTTACATGCACCAAATGTGTGAGGTCCAGAGAACTGAAGGTGAACCAGACCGTGCACCAGAATGAGATGTTGGAGTACTGTAAAGTCAAGGTACTAAAGGAAAACTGGAGTCAGTCAAACATTACATATACTGTTATATAAGGAT